GTAGGGGCATAATTTACTAATACTAAGTAATTTTTACTTAGTTTTAGTAAATTTGGCTGGAAGACCAATTTAGGTCTATCAGACTTTTGGTAGATAACTCCCTAATACCTTAGAAATTAGGGAGTTATCTACCAAGCGGCTGCAAGAGAAGTTCCGAAATTCTAAAGTTCCGAAGTTCCAAAGTGTGGAAGTGCCGAATTGCCGAAGTCCTGAATTTCGGAATGCCGAACCGAACCGAAAATTTTTCCCATACACATGCCTAAAAATCAGTTTTTAGATGCAACTTTTCCCTGCTTTTTTAGACAATCTTTATTTAGGTTTTTGAGCATAAAGTAAAACATAGACAGGATTGATTTCCTTACACAGAAATCATATAACACGTGTTAACAAAGCGTTTAAGAGCCCAGATGGATCCCAATAGGGAATAAGCCTTGATTATGCCTTTGAGCTAGTTTGAATTTGTAGTTATATAGCCCGTATTAAGACCTTAATGAATAACGTAAATATGCAGGTGTCACCATTGTACCAAACACTTGGGGGTGGAAGTCGCAGCGTCCTCCACCCCACCCGTCTCTTACAACACCAAGCCCCAGTCAGTTTCTGTACCATCAGGGAATGTGTGAAAAGGGGCTGAAAAGCAAATGGAGCGGGGGGGGAGAAAGATAAGAAAACAAAAATGAGGAGGAAGGGAGGGGAGTTGCTCACAGCAGGTGCAAGTTGTTCACCACATACACCTTGATCAAATACCTCCCCCAACAGCAGCCGTGCCACACTCCAATCCTGACCGACACCCACAAGCGCTAAGTCAGCCTTCCTCATCACCCTCGAGCAGGTCCGTTTTCCTGCTTATCTTACCTCCAGCCACTGAGTCACGGTCATTCTTAAGGACAACCGTTCCGAGAAGCCAGTAATGTCAGTTATTCCTACGGTTTACTAATGTCTCTCAGAACGTCTTGGGTGAGACATTCTTTAAGTAGGCATAGCCTCACAACTCAAGATATATTCTCGCCAAGGTGCCCACAGCTGCACACTTTTAGATCGTACCATGCAATAAGTCATTGTCTCCATGTCATATAATTCTTTCGCTTTGTCCATCCAGTGTCACATGGTTGGCACCTTGGTCATGCGCCACCTAATCAGGAGAAGGGAATTAGCTGCATTTAGCAAGTGTCTCGCCAAGGAGCATTTGTATACAGTCAGCGGGAATTTTGTATGATGTAACAGCATAGGTAGTGGCTGCAGTGGCAGGTCAGTGTCTATGATCTCAGTGACTAAAGAATGAATTTGTTGCCAGAATGGGGCTATTTTGGAACAAAACCACCATTCAGGGCCGTCTTTAACGCGGGGCAAACGGGGCAGCTGCCCCGGGCCCAGTTTCTCTTGGGGGGCCCGAGGCACCTGCCCCGTGGGCTCCGCTGACCAGCGGAGCGGTCGGGAGCGCGGGGAAGTTTCCTTCATCTCCAGCACGCACGAAGACGACGCTTCTTCCGCCGGCACCCCTTCAGCAGGCGGGAGTCAGGAAGAGGAAGCAGAGAGTGCCCCGCCCCCCTCCTGCCCGACCGCCACCTGCCCAGGAGCCCAGCACCACTGGACCCCAGGGAATCCCCCCAGCACTCCAAAAGGTAAGGAGGCTGGGGGGATTACATTTTTAAAAAAAAATGTGTGTTTATGTGTATGTGTGTGTTAGTGTGTGTGTGTGTTTGTGTGTGTGTGTGTGTGTATGTGTGTGTTTGTTTGTGTGTGTGTATGTGTGTGTTAGTGTTTGTGTGTTAGTGTATGTGTGTGTTAGTGTATGTGTGTGTGTGTTTGTGTGTGTTAGTGTATGTGTTTGTGTGTCAGCATGTGTGTGTGTGTCAGTATGTCTGTCTGTCTGTGTGTCAGTATATATGTGTGTGTATATCTGTGTGTGTCAGTATGTGTATGTGTCAGTATGTCTGTCAGTGCGTCAGTATGTCTGTTAGTGCATGTGTATGCATGTGTCAGTATATCTGTCTGTGTGCCAATATGTCTGTGTGTGTGTGTGTCAGTATATCAGTCTGTGTGTAGTCAGTGTATGTGCCTGTGTGTGTGTGTCAGTATTTCTCAGTGTATGTGGGTGTCAGTATATCTGTCAGTGTGTGGGTGTCAGTATTTCTGTCAGTGTATGTGTGTCAGTATGTTGATCAGTGTATGTGTCTGTGTGTGTGTGTCAGTATGTCGGTATATGTGTCTGTGTGTCAGTATGTCTGTATATGTGCCTGTGTCAGTATGTCTGTCAGTACGTCTACCAGTGTATGTGTCTGTGTGTGTGTCAATATATGTACCTGTGTCAGTGTGTCTGTCAGTGTATGTGCCTGTTTATCTGTATGTAGTCAGTGTATGTATCTGTGTATCTGCTTGTGCGTCAGAGTGTGTACCTGTGCATCTGAGCCGCAACTTTAAATACAAATACACCCCTCCATTCAAACTTCAACACTACATATAAAACACACTCCTGCATTGAAGCGTCAACACTACATACAAGCACACTCCTACATTCAAAAACAAACACTACACATAAATGCACACTTGCATTCAAACTCCAGTACCACATACAAACACATTCACACAAACATACTCCATACAAACACATGCTTACATTCAAACATACTAACATGGCTCAGTGCTAAATACAACCCTGCAAGCATGGGAAATTGGTAGAGTCCCAGCTGTCAAAGCATTGTTGGAGTTGCACGACAGATGGGGTTCTACCTTTAGTCCAACCTTGCAATTGGGGGTCCCAATAAAATTAATTCTACTTTAGTACCGCCACTGCGTTGGGATGGATGCCGTGATTGCATACCAGGGAGTAAGGGGCGAGAGCGGCAGGGCACAGGGGGCCCAAGCAAACACTTGCCCAGGGTCCATTCGTTATTAAAGACGGCCCTGCCACCATTTGTGCAGTTCAGCCAATGCTTTAGCCTCGCATCTCCAGAAAATGGCTGAATATTACTCATTCATTTGGTGAAGGCGGGCCGGGGTCCTGTACAAGCAGGTGATCAGCTTATAATTTATTTCTTGCACTTCATTGTGCCTTGGTGGGCTAGTATATGTATTTTGTCCCATTGGTAGTCCATCAAAGAGCAAACAGTATTCTGTTCTCATTGGGCCATTTACTTCTGTGGGGCTCTTGGCATGGATGTGAGTACCAAGGAATAGAGGACTGATATTCCCTTCAGCAGCCATTCTCTATTGGAGCAGAACCTTTTGAACGAGGTATGTTCACTGTAAAGCAAGTGCTTAGAGATGCGTATTAGTTCTGGATTTGGTGATGTCGATATCTACATAGGCCTGATCACTTCAATTCTTGAAGTGATGGTATTCCTGTCTCTGAGCACCACTGCTGCAGGTATGTCCATTCTGTGTAACCAAAGCTTCCATAGTTTGCCTGAGCCCCTGGATTGCCAGTCCGCTAGTCTCAGCAGGTGAGCAGCCCTGTAATAATGTATGATGTCCCACTCCAGCCAAACATTTAGGCAGGGACAATTGAGTTATGTTAATACTTTTCCCTGTTATATGTATAGGTCAACAGCAAATTGTCATATATTTAGATGAGAACAGCAAATTGTCATATATTTAGATGAGAACAGCAAATTGTCATATATTTAGATGAGTATAAAAAAATATATAAATAGAATCAATCAAAATCTAAAAGGGTCTGCATGTTATTATTGCTCAGCTTAACAGAACACATTTTATTAACCTCGGAAAAGAAAAAGTTGCCCATGATACAAATCAAACTCACTGCCGAAGGTGTGTCCACTGAGCTATCTCACCTGAAAAACAGCAAGAGAAAGTTTCTTATTTGCATATATAATAACTAAAAGCACATAGCAAGAAGTATATTGAAATGTACTTTATAGTAGATTGTATATTATGTATGTAGCGGAGATGCTATCCTAAAATACAAGATCTTCGCTGGAGTCCTCTGGAGCTGTAAAGAAACGCTGTTCAGTGGTTATAGCCCATTTCCCAGTAACTGGACGACACACAGTTTTGGGAGTCAACTGATCTTTATTAGCCCACACACAGCTTTTTTTTTTTTTTTTTTAAACTTGAAGTTTACTTGTTTTTGTTTTTGTTCATTCACGTTTCATAACACATTGTGGGTGGGGGGGTACAGAAGAGAAAAGGAGGGATTCAGGGTAGGGGTACAGTGGTGGATGTTGTATCCTTATTACAAATTAGTAATGCTTTAGGTTGTAACATCCTTGGTCTGATTGACAGTTTTACACATTGTCTTAGTTTAGTGTGATTGTCTCTCGAGGGTATATGTGCTTCTCAGATTGGTTATGATTATACCAGTGTATAACTCACTCCGTTGTTTATGGGTTGATGATCGATACTCCTCCACTTATCATTTATTGCGTGGTTTGTTCGCTCGCTTTGTGGGTGGTGGGGGGGGGGGAGATGAGTTTGGGTCTGTGTCCCGTTGTGTATTAGTGGGTGTCGTGATTGTTCCCCACATCCTGTGGGCTTCTCGTACGCTTGGGCGGGTAACAAATTGTGCCATTGCCATTAATTCGTATGTCCAGTTTTGATCTACTTGCCTTATCAGCTCGGCTATTGATGGTGTTGCGTTTTTTTTCCATAGCCTAGATATCAGTAGGTTTGCGATATTAAAGTGTGGTATATAATGACTCTAATATGTTTTGGGGTGCCGCCTGGCAACATAAACAGGAGACACTCCTGTGGCTTATCCAACCTTATGATAGGCAATATTTTTTGAAGCAGTTGTGTCACCGCTTCCCAAAATGGGCTTATTTTGTCACAGGACCACCAGATGTGGAGCATCGTACCTACCGCCCTCCTGCACCTCCAGCACTGGCTGCTGGTTTGGGGCCATATTTTGTGTAGCTTTGCTGGTACCAAGTACCATCGGTACATGATTTTACGCTGCAATTCTAGGTGGGTGGCGCATGCAGTGAGCCCTCAGTGGGCCGAATATGCCCTGTCCCACTCTTCGTTTGAGAATGTCTGACCTATTTCCCTGTACCAATCTTTTTTGATCTGCTCTAGTGTGTGTGTTTGTGTTGAGACTAGCTTCTGGTACCCCCAGGACATTGCCTTCTTGAGTGGCGCAGTTCCTACACATTGTCGTTCAAAGGTCGTCATGGTTTTCTTGTTGTCTATTCCTGACAGTTTTTTTAATTTGTCTGACACATATGATTTGAGCTGTAGGTAAGAGAATGTGGTCTTGGTGGGTAATGCATACTCTGTCTGGATGGCTGGTAGTGTTTTCAGTTTACCCCTGTCAATGACTTGGTATATGTGGTGAATTCCCCCTCTCCTCCAGGTGTCCCAGTTGAATGTGGGGATCTCTATGCCTATTGTTTGTATTGGCGTGGCCATAGGTAGCTGAGGGTTAGACACCAGCTTGTTCCTCGTTGTGCTCCATACTCTTAACAGGTTCTGTGTGCTAGGTAATAGAGCCTCTCGTATGTGTCTTGGGCATTTATGTAGCCATAATACTGCTTGGAGGTCGTGTTGGGGTGGCCAGTGGGATTCTATTGCTACCCATTGTGGGGCGTGGGCTGGGAGGTTAATTTGGGCTATGTTGTGTAGGTATGCTGCCCTGCAGTATGCCGTTAGATTTGGTAGGTCCAACCTGCCTTTGCACACTGTTTGTTGCAACGTTCCTGCTGCTACTCATACTTTTTTTCATTCCCATATGAATGTATTGAGGACGTGTGGCATATTTTTTAAAAACCGTTTCGGGATGGGTATTTGCAGTGTGCGAAAGAGATATTGGATTTTGGGAATGAGTGTCATTTTTACCGCTGCTATGCAGCCTGTCCATGAAAGAAATTTTCCTTTCCACTTTCGCATGGTGTCTATGATTTCTGTATGTAGGCATTCGTAGTTTAGTTTAAAGAGATGTGCTGGGTTTTTGGGAAGTTTAAGTCCTAGAAACGTCAAGTAGTCGTTCATCCAGTCCAGTGGAAATGCCGTTTTCAGTCTGCCCACTAGGTCTTCGGTCAATCCTATGCCCAGGGCTTGTGTCTTGGTGACATTTAACTTATAGTATGAGACCCCCCATACTCACATATTTGTGCCATCAGGTTTGGTAGTGATATTAAGGGTTGTGTAATTGTCACCAGGATATCATCCACACAGATGTTAAGTTTGTACTCTCTGTCTCCCAGGGTTATTCCCCGTATGGATTGGTCTGCTCTTATTGCTGCTGCCAGTGGTTCCAACGCTAAAATATACAGTAGCGGGGATAGGGGGCAGCCCTGTCTCGACCCATTAGTTATTGTGATTTGTTTAGATATAAAACCTCCGTTAAGTACTCTTGCTGTGGGGTAGGAATACAGTGCCTTTACTGCGCTCAAGAACCTCTGAGGAAATTTGTATTTACGAAGCACGCTTCCAGGAATGACCAGTTGAGATGATCAAAAGCTTTTTTGGCGTCCAGGGAGAGGAGGCTATGCACTAAGTCCACTACCTTCCTAGTGTTGTCAGACCCTTATCGGGCAGTGGTGAAGCCCACTTGGTCGTCGTGTATCAACGTGGGGATAATGTGGGTCAGTCTAGTGGCTTGGACTTTTGCGTATAGCTTGGTGTCTGTGTTGAGCAACGAGATTGGCCTAAAGTTTTGGCTGCAGGTGGGGTTTTTTTCCCAGTTTGGGTAGTGTAACAATGGAGGCATTAAACAGATTAGCTAGGTGTGGGGCCAGAGCTCCAGCAAATTTCTTATAGTAGATGTTCGTGAGACCGGTGCCTTCCCGGATGGGAGACGTGTGATGGCTTGCAGTACCTCTGTCTCAGTGATAGGGCTTGCAAGGTTTCTATTTGTTCCCCCGTTAGAGAGGGCAAGGTTATACTGTCCAGGTAGCGTTCTATGTTCCCCGGGGTTGGCTGCGTCGTGTTTGGGTCTTGCCCTAAGTTATACAGGGTCATGTAATAGTCTGCAAAGATGTCACTGATTTCTTTTGGTGTCACCCTTTTTTCCCCATTCGAGATTAGTAGATATGGGATCTTGGCGTTTACGCTTTTTTGTGTTAGTCTTCTAGCTAGAAGTTTGCTTGCCCTGTTCCCCTGTGTGTATTGCGTTGCTTTTGAGTTTCCTAAGGCTGAATCCCATTTTTGCTAGGTCGTGTTCCCTAATTTCATCTAACTTCTCTTTTATTTGTGCTTTTAAAAGCGGTGTCGGGTCAGTTGATTTTGTTTGTTGAGGCGGTATAGGGTTTTCAGCCAGCCTGTCAGTTTCACCTGGGATTTCTGTTTCAATGCACTAGCTTTCCCTATGATCAGTCCCCTGATTACTGGTTTGTGAGCTTGCCAGAGGGTTTCAGGGGAGATGTCCGAGTGTGTGTTTGTTGCAAAGTACTGCTTAATGTCTTCGTCTAAGAGCTCGCAGAAATGCTCATTGTTTAATATTGATTCATTGAGCCGCCAGGGGCTGTGATGTTTGTAGTCATAGGCATCCTGTAGTTCTAAGGTTATAGGGGCGTGATCGGACCACGTGATGGTGCCTATGGAGCAGTCCTTTAGTTGGTTTAGGAATGTGCCCTTTATATAGAACCCGTCTATGCGTGAGTAGGTATTGTGCACTTGGGAGAAGAAAGTATAATCTCTCTCCTCCGGGTGCAGCACCCTCCACGTATCATACAAGTCGTGTTCACTCAGTAGCCGCGTTAGTGGCTTACATTCTCTTGTTAGTGTTGCTGACCTGGAGGTGTGGGGCAGGACTGTGGTGTCCCATCTTGGGTCCAGAATGTGTCCCATCTTGGGTCCAGAATGTGGTTTAGGTCCCTGCATATGATGGTGACCCCTCTCTGAACTGGTGTGTGATTAGTTTGTGTAAAAAGTTTCTCTGGTTTGTGTTGGGTGCATATATGTTGATTATTGTGTGTTCCAAGTTGTTGATTTCGCACACTAATATTATGTATCTCCCTTGTGTGTCTATGGATTCTTATAACAGCTTAAAGGACAAATCTTCACTGATTAAGATAGACACTCCCCTGGTTTTGGACAAGAAGATGCTATGGTACTGCGTGTAATTTGTGCCTGTGCTATAGTTGTTGTCTGTTTAAGGTGGGTTTCTTGTATGCATACAACATCTGGGTGCACTCTGCGCAGATCTCTGACTAGGCAGTGTCGTTTGACTGGAATATTTAACCCTTTTACATTATGGCAATATATTTTCATGGTCTATTTGGTTTACTGCGGGTTGGTAATGTGGTTCGTTGGTTGGCGGGACCTTTCTGCTAACACTTGTGGTTTGCCCTGTTCCTACACGTTTGTGCTACAGCTCTGCTGTATGTTTCCTGTGCGACCGGCTGTGCTCCCTGTGATTTCCCCTGCGTGGGTACAGTCCCTCCCTGGTTTTCGCATTCCCTGTCTTTGTGGTTTTTCCTGAATTCTAGTACCCGTCTGGTGGGTGTGGACTTGGTGGGGGGGTTTATATGGGGTGTAACAGTAATGCAATCATTATTCATAACATACGAATAAAACATTACATCATTCAACATATATACAATGTCATTAACAGGTGTGTACATTTCCCAATGAAAGGTGAGGCACTAACTAGATAGTGCCGGTTGGGAACGTGGTTATTGTGTATGTTTATGAGAGTTATAAATTAGTGGGTGAGCTTGCTGAGCCCGATGTTTGCTGTCGTATATCTCATGGCAACTGTGTTTTTGTTGTGTTTTGGCTGCCTAATGTTAGGAGTTGATGAGGTCAGAGTTTTGTTTTGCTTTGTAACGGCGGTATGCGACCACTTTTGGATATGACCTCTGTTACCTTTTTTTTTTCATACATGTTATGTCAGTAGTATGGCACTGCCCCATCGATAGGCAATTTTTACCCAGATGATCCCTCCCGTGCTCCCTGTTTTGCCTATATGCCGTCTTCATGGTTTGCGTGCATGTGGTGTAGCCTAAATGTGCATATAACCCCGTGCCATGCAGTCATGCTTATTATACTTGCGATTCGTTGGTTGCCCAGCCGCTGCTAAGATTGCATTTGTTTCCACAGCACAGTCCATATGGTATCAGATCAGTTCATTTTTTGGGTTCTTTTCCACTCCGGGGGCATTCTGGTTTGTACTGCTGTATTCTTCCCCTCTGGGCTTGTTGCGATGTTCCAGGTGCGCAGAAGTCTCCGACCCTCCTCATCAAAAGGCGGATCGGGTATCCCCATCTATACTGAATGTTATTCTGGCGCAATGCTTCTGTGATGTCTTTAAATTATTTTATTTTTTGCAACGTGGCTGCCGATAGATCTGTGAATAATTTGATGTGTCTGTATTTCTGTGGTAGGTCGCGCCCTCCTCTCGTGGCTTGGAGTAGTGCCTCTTTCACGTGAAAGTAGTGCAGGTGGGTGAGCATGTCCCTGGGGGTGTCTTGTGGTAGGAACGCTGGCTTTTGCACCCTGTGGTATCTGTCTAAAAGCAGTACCTCTGCGGGTAGGTCTGGTGCCAATTCTTTGAAGTACCCTATCAAGAATACATGGAGGTCTTGCTGCTTCACTTCTTCTGAAATGACCCGAAGTCGCAGGTTCTGGCGCCTAGAGCGATCCTCCAGGTCCATAACCTTGCGCTGGGTGTATTCTAATTGCTACTGCATATGTTACACTTGGTCAGCCATGCCATTGTGTGCAGCGGCTTGTTCTTCCACTCTTTGTTCCACACATGCCGTCCTGCCTCCCAGCTCCTGCACGTCTTTGCAGAGCTCCCGCAGGGTGCTCTGTATGGATGTCAGAATTTTGCTGGACATTTCCTCCAGACAGTTCTGTAGGAAATCCTGCGTGACAGGCAGGTTCTGCGGCCCGGGGGAGGACTGTAGTGGTATCGTGTCATTCCCGCCGCCGCCATCTTGGTCCCGTTCCGTGAGGCCTGAGGTTTTAGGCGTCGATGCATGGGTCATAAAGAATCCGGATCGGTCAGTTTTTTCAGTTTGTTTTTTCAGCTTCGTATTAGGCATGATGCAGAGTGTTCGGTGAGTCTCTAGGGAGCTGGTTTATGCTTTTTTCTTAGCTTTTTCAGGCCGCGTTGTGCGGAACTAAGATCAGTGCGACCATCCGCGTTGCTCGCTAGGCCACGCCCCCCCCACACACAGCTTTTTATGCACATCCCCATAGTATGGGGTCTCTACAGCAAGTTTACAGGTTTTTTTCCCAAGAGTCTCTGGGTCTGAAAGATAATTGAGCTGGGAACATGCTAACTTGATTATCTCTCAGTTACAGGGACTAACATAAAATATCACAAACCACTGAAAAAATATAATAAAACATTACAGGAACACCATAGTCCTTATATCCCTGAATAGCCTGTGTCTGAGCTCCTGATATCTAAAAAGTGCTCAGATTGGTTTGGTGAAATGGGATCGCTATTCGGGAGAAGGTTTAACCGGCCGGCAATGAGGTGATGCCCCAAAAGAGTTCCAGAGAATCCAGGGAAGCGGCCGGTCTCCGTTCAGGAGTTTCTGTATGAACACCGATTAACACTCCCTCTGGCTCTTAGGTAGCAAATGCTCCCCCCAGTCGTTAGATCCTATCTCTGGAACGTGGTTCATCTAGTTCAGCGTTTCCCAATTGGTGTTCCGCGAGAACACAAATGGTGTACCG